ATACAAAGGTACAAACTTAATGCCCAAATGAGCCACAGCGAAAATAAGAAAACAAATTTAGTTTAAAGAGTGAAAATTTTTAATATGCTAATAAGTGAAATAAGCGGTGGAGGCAGACTGCAGATCCAGATAAAGAAGATAAGAAAACCCAACAGTTTTGGGGACCTATACATCAGTCGACCGATGGTTGAGAGTCTTGAGACAGTACCAAAGAACTAAAGTTCAACTCTTGTAAATACAATTTGGTGGTGAGTACATGTTAGAACGAGTGTATGAGCATGCTACTAAACGAGTGCCAGGTTCGAAAGATATGAACTAGGCCTTTATATATAGCGGTTAAAAAATAAACCTCACTTTAGAAAACAACAACAGCGGCCTAACTATTATACACAAGCTATTTCATATATCAGCATAATATCAAGAAATCAGAGCCACTGATCTAAGGGGGTCATCCAGTAAATTTTGCAAACATCTCACCTGACCAAATTGTAAACGCTATAGTGGTTAAGAACGTGAATACACTGCACAGGCCTATAATGCCGCATACGAGGCACGAGTTCTGACCTCATTTTACAATTTCAAGACCTTCTTCGTACCCCCATTGTAAATGTCTTTCATCCACTCGTATACTTCAGTCATATCTCCCCTTGTCCTCGCTCTTACAAGATAATGTAAATCAAGTTCTAGCCTATTTTCAAAAGCAAACTTCCTATATCAGGAATCAACTGTCATCGTGCAGAGAATGCTTTCCAGAGAATTTATATCCGTGTTGTAACAGGGTGCCTAAAACTGAACAGCATTATTCAAAGGAAGCATTTTTATTGTGAAATATAATTGAAAGATAATGTGTTTCTATTGCTATCGCTTCTAGATCTAAAACCAAGTATCCTACTGCTAAATTTCGTGGATTATATATTATTGTCTTGATTTTACACATAGATCACTTTCCCATTTTTATTTACTGCATTAGTATCCACACTATTAGACGAATATATCGCGCCCAAACCTGCGATTTTACATTTATCTACGTTGAACTGCATTAGGCATTTCTCCGGTCAAATCTGCAGTTTATCCTGGTCTCTGTAGTACTGCATAAACTTTTGAACTTATTGTCTGTCCTATTTTTGTGTCATCTGCAAATTTGCTGATATTAGTTTATTTGCCCTACTCAAGGTCATTAACAGAAATTGTAAAAAATATCGAACCCAACACGGAACCTGATGCACACACTAATGAGATTACCTCACTGATTTTACGCTACTGATGCTAACTCTACTTCCTATCTTTCAACCATAGCTCTAATCCAATTAGACACATCTCCAATAACGTGAGCTAAACAAATTTTGATCAGCCTCTCATACAAAACTGTACTGAATGCCTCACTAAGGCCACGATCCCCAACATCATTCTATAGTGGTTAATATTGGCTGCTCCCTCAAATACCAGTGAATTCTCATTGCAATTGCTACTATTGCTTCAAGGAATTTGAGTATTGCTCTCGTCAACACCATGAAGGTTATTAAAGCAACAAAATGTTTATTGACCAACCGGCGATTATACTCTAATCCTAAACGTAATATAGGATAAGGGTCAACTCTTAAGAAGCGGGGGATCTCCTCTTAGTGTATATATCGTTGGCTTTGTGAAAATGTATCATTTACAGATAAATGTACTTTTATGTAAATATTTAATAAACAATTAAATAAAACTATTAGAACACTACATGACTGTGCAATTGAATGTAAACAAAATCCAAGAATTTAGAAACAACTACCTCTAATATTTAAGAAATATCAAAATATATTGAATCCAAATTGACACATCAGCCAAAAGCTTTGATAAGTATCTCTTGTCTGCACACTTTTGGTACAGCAGTGCGTACACTCCTGAGGTCATGGTATGACTGAAAGCCTAGCTTCCACCGTAGCCTATGTATGAGTGTTGGGTTTAAGATAGTCTTAAAAACAAAATGTAATTAGTTCATCAGTTTTAAATTGTTTAGCATAAGGAATATTAATGTCCCTGAACATATTCTGTGACTAATCTTTCTACAACCGACCCGAACTAAAAGCTGTTAATTCCTTTTTAAGTGCCTAAAGGTATTGAAAAGATGGATAAAATACATTTAACCAAGCAATAACACCAACAAAAATACAGGAGACGGTGAGAAAAATATTTTTCCTCAGAGACGGAACGTATCCAAGACGAAGGAGCATTGAAAAAACACAAATCCTTAATAGTACAATAAATGTATATAGAAAAACGGAACACCGGGCTTGAGCTGTATCATATTAATCACAATTAGGTAACACTCAAGTACGCGCATGCGCGCACGTGTTTAGGTAACGAGAGGAAACATTGTAACGTTCACGTGTCGTTGTGATTAAGTCTGGTAAGGTGGAGGCCTAGACGTGTCAATCACCTCGTACTGTACTGTGGTGAATCGTCCTAAAGTTTTTTTTATTATTATTATTTTCTACCACAGACGTGGCCACACATTTACAATGCTAACTAGCATATATACATTTTCTTCTGTCCTCCATGGACAGGGTGAGAGATTTGTCAAACACAGTTTAGGGATTTATTGAACAATCAACCACAGAAGGTGATTCGGTGCTTTTAAAATGCTAATCGTCCTGCAGTGGCAGAACCCCACCCCCCTTGAACTCTTGTTGTCTGTACATCGTTATTTTAATTTTATGACTACAATATTTGAAAACGGATATTGCAAACGTTGTAAACCAGCATTCCCAAATATGTTTTTGGACTTATTATTAGTTCCTATCAGGGACGGTTTTTGTAGAGATGGTCATTAATAGTGATATTCCCGCCATCTCTGCATCATGACAGTGCATAACGTACAGTATTATGATTGTTGTTGGTGTCTGAACATCTTTTGAACAACATTACATCTGATTTGCCTGTGACCGGTTTCGAGTTTTCTTATCTCCCAGCTCAGACAGGCTTCCCTGCATGTCGACAGTCTGATTATTGTCGAGGTCAGGGTATATGACAGAGGCAGCTACCATGCATTTACATTTTAAACATATTACAAAAGCATTTCTGCAAAGCCCACATATTATAATTAACTTGTGATAATTAAGCATGGTCGAAGTAATCATGCAAACTGTCCTTGTAGGAAAGGAATATTTTAGTTTGGCTAAACGTTAATTTCTTGCCAATACTGTATACATATTGAAAATTGAAGCAAACGGAAGTACTGTGGTTTGGTTAGCACGCTCCTTTCCTATTTTGCTACGGATGCTTATAGGTATGAGTAGAGTCTACTCCTGGGCTGAGTAGAACGATTTTGCTAAAGTACATTTACTTCATTCACTCTACCTATGCACTCTTACGCACTTTCACGGCCACTGGGTATACCCAGACATACCATATTCCGATGACACAATCGTTAGGCTTTAATTCACCTTTAAGGTAAGAGCTCTTCCTACTCATGTAAAAAATACACAAAAATTTTCCTACTTCTAAATAGTGGCATTTAGATTGTTCCAAATAAATTAAATATATTAACGAATTAATGTAACTATATATTATTCTGCTTTACATAACTATTATATGTGTATATATTATATATATTATATATATTATATATATTATATATATTATATATATTATATATATTATATATATTATATATATTATATACATACACACACATACATACATACACACACATACATACACACACATACATACACACACATACATACACACACATACATACACACACATACATACACACACATACATACACACACACACATACACACACACATACACATACACACACACACATACACACATACACACACACACATACACACACACATACACACACACACATACACACACACACATACACACACACACATACACACACACACATACACACACACACACACACATACACACACACACACACACACACACACACACACACACACACACACATACACACACACACATACACACACATACATACACACACATACATACACACACATACATACACACACATACATACACACACATACATACACACACATACATACACACACATACATACACACACATACATACACACACATACATACACACACATACATACACACACATACATACACACACATACATACACACACATACATACACACACATACATACACACACATACATACACACACATACATACACACACATACATACACACACAGTTCACATTTGTTCAAATGAATAAATTGTAAGCATAAAACATATTATAAAGCCGTGTACCGTCCACGTTAGGTGGTACAACTATAGTTACAAGAAAGACAAATGTGCAACTCAAGTTAGAAGAAAGCGCGCCAAATTGTTTGTGTCGTCGAGAAGCAACATCAGTCTTATGCCTAGCGGGTGCTTCAAATATATTTTGAATTAAGGATAACTGTTCATAATTACGTAAATAGATTTGATATCAATGGTAATACACGTTTCAAAATAAACACGAGCCAAATGTACGATGATGCCAGTTGATCAGTTGTGGAAATATTTAGATTGCGATATAAAGGTAACCGTGAAGCCTAATGGCGCACATTTTGCTGGTATATGCCAGCGCCCAGCCCCTGGTATATGCCAGCGCCCAGCCCCTGGTACAAGACCCGCCCACCAGCCTACCATTTCAACGTGCGCAAAATCAATACTCCAGGCCTTCAAAAGTGGCTCCTAACGATTCATAGCCTAAATGTCACAAACCAATAGGCTTTCACTGCTTCTAAAACCGTACATTAATGAGCATTAATGGATATAAACAAATAAAATCTTACAAGAAAACAATAAAATGGAGGAGTGCCACTAGCGGCCTGACAGGCACTGTCCCTGGCATCATTGCATCTCGGCTGGGTAGTTGGCTGGCAACGGAGGCAGCGTCTCAAGAACGATGTTTTTCTCAAGTTCTAACGTTATTCTAAACAGTAAGAGTGATTGCAGCCTGGGGTACTGACCTTCACATCCTTGCTCGTGTTAAGATATACGACAACGCCAAGTGTCCATACACAGGAAACGAATATGAAGAGTTTGCAGTTCCTACGCATGGTAGTGAGCGAGGAGTGTACACGACGGGGGTGCGAGCCACACTGACCCGCTCCTGGCGACTGTCGGCACCACCTAGTGTCACCCCCGACCCTCCCCGCCACCACCCCGGCCACCTCCCCCACAAGGCAACCCACCCCGGCCTACCACCACCCCCGCCAGGCAACCCACTCCGGCCTACCACCACCCCGGCCACCTCCCCCACCAGGCAACCCACCCCGGTCTACCACCACCCCCGCCACCTCCCCCACCAGGCAACCCACCCCGGCCTACCACCACCCCCGCCACCTCCCCCACCAGGCAACCCACCCCGGCCTACCACCACCCCCACCACCTCCCCCACCAGGCAACCCACCCCGGCCTACCACCACCCCCGCCACCTCCCCCACCAGGCAACCCACCCCGGCCTACCACCACCCTCGCCAGACAGCCCACCCCGGCCTACCACCATCCTCGCCAGACGGCCTACCACCACCCTCGCCAGACAGCCCACCCCGGCCTACCACCATCCTCGCCAGACAACCCACCCCGGCCTATGTTACGATATATCGTATCGTGTTATTTCATCGCATAAAGGCACGATTATTTAAGTCATACGTTCATTATTACAGGAAGAACGAGGTTAACAACCATGGAGGTCGTTAACGGTCAGCACGGTATGGCTCGTCCGGTGGCGGGAATTTCTGTTAGCCAATCAGAACCACCGGGCGAGGTAACGTGTGCTGGCCGGAGCATGTGGAGAGACAGACATCTACTCCCCTCCATTGAGTCAACAGGCTGTCGTCGCGTTTGGATGTGTGACCAACGGACCCAACTGTTAGTGTGCTTCACCCTCACGAAGGAAGAGGACCTCGAGTCATATGGTCGACGTTCTTGAAAGTTATGGAAGATAACAGCTTTGAGATTTAGAGGTCGGCGTGGAGGTAACGCGCTGATTTTCCCGATAGTGGTCCAAAATTGCGGACAAGTGAATTTATAAGTGGAAAGAACAATCGGATAAGAGACGACCATTTCATGGTCGCAGTCTCTCTCTCTCTCTCCCCCTCTCTCATATATTTATATATATATATATATCTGTACTTGTGTACAATGCACACATACAATATGTTTAATGTATATATATATACAAGATGATTAGCGATATATCCATGAAGTTTTATACCATATTATTTTCTTGTCCTTTGTCAGACCTCAGCACAAAGTGTGTCGCACCTGACAACAGGTCCGGCTGAGGCTGACGCCTGTTCAGATTCATGTACCCCGTTGTAGTACAACGAAACATTGGACAAACATTCAGAATAAACCTAAATTAATGTTGGGTTGTCAACAGTTCGATCCCAACACATATGGGGGCCTGTCCGGGAGTGTTTTGAGCAAGACACACTTGCAGCACCCATTGCTAGTCATCTAAGTGTCCAGCCAGGTAAAGTTTCATCATGGATCGTGTCCAAGAATTTATAACAAAAGAGTACACATTGATTTTAGAGCTGTACGAAAGAACAGCTGAAGCAAATCGCCGAACACTGAGATAGAATTAGTGTCGACTAAAGTGGTCTATATGAGACAAGAACTTGGAAATAAAGTAAGGTCACGACGCGAAGACGTCGGAGCGGTAGGATTAGAGGTGAGTGCAAAGGAAAGTGGGGAACAAGATACTTCCTCAGTATCTTCTAATACGTCTCATAGGAGTGGAAGTTTAGAATATGAATTGGAACGTTTGAAACTGGAAGCTCAAATTAAGAGGGAAGAGAGAGTTTCAGTTAGAGAAACTGAAATTGGAGCGAGAGAGTGCGACTTGAAAGTGAGCAAAAAACGCGTGTAGAATTAGAAAAGGAGAAAACGAAGCAAATGGAAATCGAAGCAAATAAATTTGTGGCTGCTCAGAGGCGAGGGCGAGAGGTACACTCAGAGAGCAACCCTATGCCTGCAGCATATGATCACAAGGCACGTGAAAAAGAGGTTCCGCAATTTTGTCCAGAAGAGTCTGAGTCTATTTTTGAGCATTTTGAAAGTTGCTACACTAAAGCAGTGGCCAGAGGAGGATTGGGCCCAATTGGTGCAAATAAGATTGACTGGGGCAGCGAGAGAGGCCTATACCCAGCTCTCTCTTGAAGATTGTAAAAATTACTAGACTGTGAAAAACAGCGTATTAAGGTCATTTCTACTGACGCCTGAAGCTTACCGGAAGCGGTTCAGAGAAATGGGAGACACAGAGGAGCACATATGCTGAAACAGCCAGAGATTTGGAACGTAGATTCCAAAGATGGATGGGTTCCGAAAAGGTAGAATCTTTCGAAGACTTGAAACAATTGATGTTGATGGAAAAATTCTTGGAGATGGAGACTCCAGACACCAGGTTTAAGGTTCAAGAAGCAGGAATAAAAACTCTTAAACAGCGGACAAAGCAGATGTAATTACGGAAGCTTACAAAAGTCTCCAGGAATATGAAGGAAAAGGTCACGCAAAGTTGCAGGGTAGTAAAAGACAGCATACGTGGAACAGTAGAGATGGTCGTGGATATACTGGCAACCCGATAGCCCGACAAAGTCAGGGGTATGTGGAATTTTCTCCGTCGGGAGGTGACTCATTCGAGGGTCAGGCTAGCGCACCCTCGGGTCAGGGAGGAAATACAACGTCTAGAACAGTGGAGACGTGGTGAATCCTATTATAATGGACAACGTAGTTCGAGAGGACGAGGATTCTCTTCTCGGGTAATATGCTACACATGTAACAAGCCTGGACACTTAAGTAGAGTGTAGGCAAGGCAGAAGAGTGGTGTCCCTCACAGTAAGTAAATACAGAAGTCCTTATATAAATTTAAAGGAGGAATTGCCCCAAGAGATGATGTCCATTACGAGAGGATATAACCCTTTCATTAGCAAAGGTATGGTGAGCATTGGGGGTCAGCCTGATCAACAAGTCACAATATTACGTGACACAGGAGCGAATCAGAGCTTAATACTGAAAAGCTTGATTCCTGAGTACAGATCTTGTATAAATGGACATATAATTAAGGTACGGGGTATAAATTCAGAGATGGATATACCTGTGTGTACAGTAAAGCTAACCTCTGATTACTTTACAGATGAAGTGATGTTAGGAGTGTGCTCGGACATACCCATTCCTGGAGTACATGTCATCTTGGGCAACGATTTATGCGGCTCAAGTGTTGCCAGAGGTACTGCGCAGTGATGTACCAAACGGACATCAAAACAATGTGGAAGATGAAAAATGTAATAACATAACGCTCGCCAGTATTCTGGATGATCCCTCGGAAGATGATCAAATAGAAGTATATCCGGCCTGCGTCGTAACCAGAGTGCAGAGTGCTCGACTAAGAGATGTGCCAGAGAGGATGGACGTATCTTCTGCAATGGAGGAGGAAGAGGTGGATTTTGGACTAAAATACTTGTTCGAGGAACGTGCCGCACCAAGTACAGCGAGAGTGGAAGTAAGACCACAATTACCATCCCACATAAAGGTAAGCAAACTAGATTTTATAGCTGCCCAGAAATAAGAATTTGAAGAATATATAAAGGAAGCTAAGGGAGGAAATGCTTGTATCACGTCACCCACTTACTACTACCTGGACGACGGGGTTTTGATGCGAAAATAGCGATCAGACCACGCGCCAGCTGACAAAGACTGGGTTGAAAAGGATCAAGTGATGGTACCTAAAGATTATAGGAACTCTGTATTGGAAGTTGTCCATGCATTAGAAATGGCGGGACATCTCGGTGTTCATAAGACACTTGGGAAAATACAAGACCATTTTTATTGGCCAGGTATGGCTGCAGACGTAAAAAGGTATTGCAGAACTTGTTTACCCTGTCAGAGCGGGAAAACCTGTTCCAGCGCTTCCTAGAGCCCAACGAAAGCAAATTCCAGCGTTTGGGGAACTTTTTGAAAGGATAATAGTGGATTGCGTAGGTCCCCTACCAAGAACAAGAAAAGGGAACGAATACTTATTTGCCATCATGTGCTCAGCGACTCGTTTTCCCGAGGCAATTCCCGTGCGAAAGATAACCTCCAGAATATTGCTTGACAGGTTACAGCAATATTTTTCGTGGGTAGGAATGCCGAAGGTTTTGCAATCGGATTTGGGCAGTGTTTTTCAATCAAAGCTGTTCCGTAAGACAATGAAGGATTGGGATGTGAAACAGATTAGGTCATCTCCTTATCCCCAATCTCAAGGGGCCATCGAACGTTTTCATGGCACTATGAAGAGCCTTTTGCGAATTTATTGTGCTGAGCAAGGGGCACAGTGGGACGAGGCCATCGCCCCAATAATGTTTGCTATTAGGGATTCGGTAGTTGAGTCCTTAGGCATGACACCGTTTCAATTAGTATATGGGCATACGGTGAGAAGTCCTATAGTTATGTTGAAGGATCGGTTAACATCTGAAGATTCAAGAGATAATCTGGAAACGTATGTTCAAAAGTTTAAATGCAGATTGTTCAGGGCGCGAAAGCTGGCGAAGGAAAATTTGAAAATCTCCCAAGCGACCATGGCAAAATATTACAACAAAGGTACCAAAGAGAAGTTTTAATGCAGGTGATAAGGTATTGGTCTATCTACCTGTAAAAGGGACGGTAAATGATTCAAAATTTTTGTGGACCCTATATGGTCAAGAAGAAACTTGGTGATTTAACGTACGTAATACACATGCCTAACAGACCGAGAAAATCTCAGATATGTCGCGTAAACTTAATGAAAAGGTATTGGGATAGAGATGAGGATGGGCAACTAGACACTGCTGTAATGTGCGCAGTTTCCAATGAGTTTACGGAATTAAACCATAAGAGGCTAAAGAGCAGATGGAGCCCGAATTTCTAATTCTCGGTGGTTACGAGAGATGAATGCACACTTGACACTTAGATGATCAAAGGAAGCAGGACATAGAAGAGATTCTCATGAAATACCTATCACTATTCTCTGACGTACCGCGACGACACCGCGAAATTACGCACGAGGTAAATGTAGGAAGAGCTCGACCAATAAAGCAACATCCGTATAGAATAAATCCTGATAGAGAGATTATGCGACG